CATTTTTGCCATGTTTTGTATCTAGATTTACTCTAAAAATAGTTCATTTTATAGATGTAAAAGGTGTTGCATGTGATATGTGTCAGGCATTGTTCACATCCGTGGATGCCATGGAGCGACACAGAAAGAAACATCCCAATCAGGGGCCCGATCGAAGACACAGATGTCCCCACTGTGTCTACTCCACCAACTACTCACATCATCTCCGGGGTCACCTCGCTACTCACACGGGTGAGAGGAGACACGGATGTCCCCACTGCCACAAGACATTCACTCTGGAAGAAAATCTCAGGAGACACCTGAAGGTCCACAGTGGAGAGAGACCCTTCTCTTGTGGAGAGTGTGGAAGAGATTTTAATAGAAAGGAACACTTTGAGCGTCATAAGCGAAGACACAGCGGCATCAGACCTTACCGATGTTCCACCTGCGGAAGAGATTTCACTGAATTACCAATCCTTCTCAAGCACATAAGAATCCACACTTTGCAAAGACCCTACAAGTGCTCCAACTGCCAATACAGGGCCACCACATCTTCCAGTCTCAATAGTCACGTTATTCATAAACACACAAAACAGTTCCCCCATAAGTGTCACCTGTGTGAGAGAGGTTTTCTTGTACCAAGTCTTCTTAAACAGCACATTGACCGCATACATCCTCAATACAAGTAAATAAATAAGGAACTGCACTTAATGTAAACTTACCGTCATAAAAATGAGAGATAAGATTGATCACCGCGTACACTTTGAATAAAAATTTGCACGAAGAAAGTATAGTAAGGACTTTTACAATAAACGCCTATTTTTACTTATGTTTGAAATACATTGATGGCGAAAACTATGGGATTAGCTTAAAAAAGTACAATAAATTAGGAGACGGGGATTTTATTTTCCTTTATATTATTTATTTCTAATACAAAAATAAATGTTTGGTTTTTTTTCCTCATTCACTTTTATTATAATTCTTGATTTTAATTTTTAAATCGATATTGTTATATGTGTAGTTGGCATGGTTTTCGTGTTTTCTTTTTTATAAAATTATGTATGACTCTGCGTTGTTTTAAAATGAACTTTTAGCTACAAATAAACTTAGTATTTACTAAAGTATATGTTTGGTTAATATAAATGAGTTTTTGTTTCAAAAAATTTTATAGCAGTTGTCCATTTTACAGTTATACTTCAAGTAAATTCATACGATGAAAAAAGTCAATAAGCGATTTAAAGTCCTCCATATTTCATATGGTTATTTGAGTCAAAGGTCTTATTTATTGACATAGATATTGCTAAATTATTTTAAACAGTTTTTAATTTTAAGCAGAATATTTTTCCTTCCATAGGAAGATAAGTAAACGTTTTAGTTATTAAAAGTTGTAGTAATATTATAAAAACTACATTTGAAATTTGCGTGGTTTAAAAAATGAGCAATTTTGCTGAAGTAATAGTGAAGGAAATAAAAAAATACATTATTTTGTTTTATATTTTTTAAAACTCTTTTTTTCTCAAATCTCTTAATAGCTCTCGGATTAAGTTTAGATGGAAGCAATAAACGTTAGCTGCTTAGAAGGAAATAGAGTGTGCATTGTGATAGTGTATAAGGATCAGGCAAATGTATGTCCCCAAATAATCACGATTGGGTTTGATCTTATATTTGTGATGAAATTACAATTAAAGTTGAAGCTAAATTTAATTTTCGTCCCAAATATGATTTGTAAAAAAATGTTGCATGATTTTTTTTCTCCAAAAAATATACAATTGCAACAAAAAGAATCTTTATAAAAAGATTAAAACGTTGCTAATTAAATCTTAAAATACAAACAAAATACTAATTTATATTTAAATAAATTCTGTTTTATGAAAAGTGTCATTCAAAGTACAAATCTGTATCTTCATTTATTTAGATTAGAATATATTTTTAAAGAATTTTTTTTTGCTACGTAGGTTTAAATGCAACTGAAAAACACAATATTTAGAAATTTTGAACTGATAGCAGTTTCAATGGGCTGCACTCAGAATTAGTTTTTTTCCCTTCCAATTCAGCATTTCTCTAGATTTTATGTTATGATCAACAATCCTTTGCAATTTCCTCTTCGTTTCTTGATCAAAATTAATCATCAAGATTTCTTTAACTATTATTATATATAAATTTGTGATTTTTTTCAGTTAACCAAAGATAAGTCCATCGAAAAGAAATATTAATTATTTACTTTAGTTATAGCAACATACAATAATTTGAGTGCATCTAAACATTAGTTTCTGATTTTATTAAAATTTAATAATTCCTATGTTTAAAATGTGATTTCTCTATCGATTTCTTCTAAATTTTTAATTGCAATTTAAAATTACCTTTCTTCAAATGATGCACAAACTTGCATACTTTACAGTTTAACTTTTTCGACTGCTACAAAATTAAATAATGAAAAAATATAAATAATAATTAAATATTATTTCTGGGAGCACAATTTACAAATTGCGGGATCATATTTTGATGATCAAGATCCCGAATATGTCGAAAAGAAAGCATTTAATTCAGTGATAATACGTTGTGCTGAGCTTCGTCACTTAAAATATCGTCTAAACGAAATATGTTGTAAATTTAAGGTTAAACCATTGAACCTAAGATTGAGTCCTAGGACGAAAAAATTCAATCATTTGATCTAAAGTTATTTATGTTGTTCACATTTTTTTTAATTTTGTGACTTGCGTATTTACCCACAATAACTTTACTGAAGATATTTCAAACAATATGTTTAACTTTCAGGGTGGCACGCAATGGATAGCCTTGCAAGCGTTATATCTGCGCAAAGTTTGCTTTGATGATTAAAGAATTAGTTGGTATGTAAAAGAATACTGGTATATTTGTCACCTGTGCAATATAGAGCGACTGTAATGTAAGATCCATCCTAAACAATAAGGGAATAAGCCGAGCAGTCTGTGTAGTGCACAGGGAACTGTCCTTGCATCAGAAAGGTTCTGAGTTCAAATCCCGGGCAAGTCATGGATGTTCTTTCCTTCTCTGTACTATCTGTCCTCACTGTGGGAACGACGTTGGCCCGCCTAATATGGTGCCCCTGAAAAAGAGGCCAGCAAAATCGCCCTCTATATGCCTGCATTGACGGATGTTAACACAGGTGGGCATTGAAAAAAAAACAATAAGGAAATAAGAGTGTACAAGATTTACAATAATAATCACCCTTAATATATTTTTCGAAACTTTGTCAGATGGTAGGCACCATGGTTGTCAAAAATTATTTCAAACAGATAAAAATAACGGAACAGGAATCTATCTCATCATTCTTGAGAAAGGTAGGATGAAAAAAAATCAAAAACAGTTTGATTGTCAAATAATTGTTTTTTGTTTTCCCCCCTTAGCATATGATTGAAAATTTTACTTCACAAATAAGGACATAAAACTATTATATTTTGTGTTGCTATTAAAACATATGTCTGATTATTAAGTATTAAATTTTTTTTCTGGCTAAGATATTCATTTAGAAAAATTAAATAACATAAATGCATTTAAATTTCGAAAATTACTTCCCTTTTAAAAGAACACTGCAGGAATTTCACTGAAATGAATCCTTATTACGCCGGTCATGAATATCTAAGTGAAGAGCTAAATTTTAGCATCGGAGCTCTTAAGGCTTGGTTAATTTGACAGTTAATTTGGAATAGAAGAGAGAGTGTGTACTCTAACCAAAGACTGTGTTCAGAAATTGAAATAGTGGAAACACCTAATTAGGATGGCTGGCAAAGTTCCTTTTATGAATATTCATATATCCAAGCGATAAAGCTCCACCAGAGAGGCTTTGAAGTGCGTGGGTAGTGCTTTTGTCTTTCTTTTTCTGACATTGAGCATTATTTTTTTAATATTCTATGAATAATTTAAGTAAATTTACGAAATAAGCTGTAGAATTGCTTTTTATGATGTAAATGTCAGTGCGAAATTTAAATGGAGGATAAAAAAAGGATTATATACTGATGTTGAAATTGACCGAAAATATGGTTAGATAGGTTATTGAAAATAATTTCTATGAATATTTATCAACTTTATAATACAGCAAAAACCAGTTTTAAAAATATTTTTAATCACAATTTGCGTAATTGTTTTGATTGACTGTTTGTATTGCTCAACAATTCACTCTATTAATCTTGCTTAATATAACACTTAACTAAATAGGATGTTCCTATGCATATTGAGTTCCTTAATATTTTATCCTTCTAGTTTTATAATCATAGTATATTTTATGTAGTCAGTTTTTATCAGAACTTATAACCTATTTTTTTGAAAGAATTTTTGCAATATAACTACCCCTTCAAGAAATTAATCAACCATTACCAACTAATTAATTACTGCATTGTAAGAATAAATATATTTGCATAAATATAAATTCATTTTATTGTGTATCAAATTGTACTTTTTATTATAGACAATCATTACAAAAATAATGATGCTATGCACAAGAGTATAAAACACAAAATATTTCTAGATAAATTTTGTTAATAATTCTTATTACTTAGTCAGACTCCTAAGTCTGCTAAACTATCTCCAATATCCAGTTAAATTTATTTTTGACAGATTTGAAACCATGAGAGTTGTAAATGGTTGAAAATTTGCATAGTTTAGTATTCATGGTTTCTTAACCATACTAGTAGTAAACGGTTAATCCGTAAAGGTAAAACATGTTCTTTACCGTAAATTGTATAGTTAATTTGATGGACAAACTATCACCTGCTGTTTCACCATAATTTTAAAGTAAAGGGAAGTGACGTTAGCTTAGATTTCTATATTGTATAATTCTCTGATATCATCTCGTAAACAATTTATGAAACAAAAAATATAATTTAAAAAAATTGTTTGTATATAATTTTATTATTTAGAATTTTTTGCACCCTGATTCATATTTAAGTTTCTGAAAAAAAAATCAAGGTTGACATTGAAATATTTATTTCAAGAAATTTAAAAACTTATGTTCGAAATTGTTTATGGAAGTTACACTAGATTTTTTCATTGAATTCTGTCATAACCCATCGTTCTATCATTGAGGAAAAAAAATGTAAAAAATTTTTCTGCGTTAAAAACACGTCAATCTAACGTCACGTTTTAAAAGCGTAAATTTTTTCAAAATTGGCTGTTAAATAACATTAAAACTAGACTTTTAGTAGAAACACAACATCATTTAAAAGTTGTAAGAATCCAAATTCAGAGAAAAGAAAATTCAAGAATTTTTCAACGTTAAAATGACCGTTAAACTAATGATCCAGAAGCGCTAATTTAGTATTCTTAAAATTAGACTTTTAGTACGAGTAGAAACCTCTGAAAGATGCGAGAATTCGGAAAACAACTGGAAGGAAAGTCCCAAAATTGAACCTTTTTCTAATGGCTTAGGATACTGTCTGTACCCTTTATCGTAAATAACGGTTAATTAACGATCAAGTGGCTTTGATATTTATTTTTTGCAATGAGGCATACTTCCTATAATTCAATGCAGAATTGAAACGTAATTTCAAAGCATTACGGTTACTGGAACTAAACACGTCTTGTATACATATACAAATATTTACCATTTCAAATACATTTAAAATAGAGATTTGTGTGAAATTTGAGTTCTTTGGTAGTTAAATACAGATTCGTTATAATTTGGAATCTCAGAAAAGATATTCGATTGCCATTTCCTATATTAGCTCTTCCTAAATTAAACTCTGTCAATCCGTAGCAGTAGTAACCTTTCATTATTATAGTGATTTTCAGAAAATTCACAGAATGAGTGAAACGATGTTTGAAGTCTGATAATTCATTTCATTCGACAAAGTCTAGAATCCACTGACATAGAATTCTATAACTAGAGGGGAAGTGTATAGTTATTTACTAGAG